ATAATGGGAAATAATGTGAAAAAGAATAAGCATATATGTATAACTGAATCACTTTCCTGTATAGCAGAAATTAACACAACACTGTAAATCAACCATAAAATAATTTAATAAAATAAATTGTGGAAAATTAAATTTATAAATTTATTAAATGAATAAGCATTTATTTATAATGCTTATTTTTGTAGCCTGTAATATTTTAAAGTTTTTTATTTTTCTTAACTGAATTGTTTTCGGGAAAAGTTTTCAATTTTTTCTTTGACTATTTTCAAAGAAAAGCATCTCTGTATTATGACAGCACATCTACACATCTGTAGCATATTTAATAGCATTTTTTCATTCTGTCATTAGAATATTGTTCTGTACTTTTATTAATATGTACTTGACCTAAATTTTCACAGCTGGAAATAATTAAATCAGAAACCACACCCCTTCACCATTTCTTTTAGCAAAAACTACCACTATTTTATCTATAATTGAAGTAGTTCTTATGTCTACCTGTCTACTTCCTTCTGTTCTCTGCCTTCAAGGAGTAGGAATATGACATGAAACCATATTTGAAGGTCATATAATCCAAGTAATGTTTCTTTTCCTTTGTGTAATGCGCCAGATTATCATTTAATCATCATTTCTCTTTTCCTAAATTAACATAGACAAGCTTTCTTTGGCATGTCTTATTTTGAGGTGGGGACGGGTTGATAAACACGGATGGCAGTAAAATTTGGAGATCACAGTTTCTTCTTTGTATTCTAACAACTTCACTCAGCTATTTATATATTAATTTATGTCTTTGTAATACAAGTCTGACCCAGTGATATTTTTAGGAAAACTCAGGTAATAAAGAAAACTAAGATCCTGGGTGTATTTAAGCACAACAGAAGTGGATGAAAATAGTGCATATATCACTTATATACATAGTGATTCAGCCCAGATGAACTGGGGAAATCTGTTCTCAATTTAATTCTTTTTTATACTTTTGATCAGATTATGTATTTAGAAGACATTTATAGAACTAGCAAATGATAAATACGTTTAATTTGTTACCAGTTGACCCTATTTTTTCACACAGAACTGTGAAGTCTCATTGATAAATATAGGTCAATTTTATCATAAAATGCTTACTGATAAGTGGTTATCTGGACTAGCTCTTTCAGTATGTTTTGACATAGCCCACACTTAACTGTCATTTTTTTTTCAGTGGTATTGGTTGATCAAAAACTATAGTGAATTGAGGGATGCTTTTAAGTGTTTCTGTATGTTATTAATCACCACACTGTTCTCCTTAGTTGCTGTACTAGTTTGCATTCCCACCAACAGTGTTAAGAGGGTTCCCTTTTCCCCATACCCTCTCCAGCATTTATTGTTTTTAATGATAGCCATTCTGACTGGCCAAATAATTGATGCTTAAACTGTGGTGTTGGAGAAGACTCTTGAGAGTCCCTTGGACTACATGGAGATCCAACCAGTCCATCCTAAAGGAAATCAGTCCTGGGTGTTCATTGGAAGGACTGATGCTGAAGCTGAAACTCCAATACTTTGGCCACCTGATGTGAAGAACTGATGCATTGGAAAAGACCCTGATGCTGGGAAAGATTGAAGGTGGGAGAAGGGGACGACAGATGATGAGATGGTTGGATGACATCACTGACGCGATAGACATGAGTTTGAGTAAGCTCCGGGAGTTGGTGATAGACAGAGAGGCCTGGTGTGCTGCTGTCCATGGGGTCGCAAAGAGTCAGACACGACTGAGTGATTGAACTGAACTGATTCTGATTGGCATGAGATGATATCTCATTGTGGATTTGATTTGTACTTTAATAATGAGTGATGCTGAGCATCTTTTCATGTGTTTATTAGCCATCTGTATGTCTTCTTTGGAGAAATGTCTGATTAGTTCTTTTGCCCACTTTTTGATTGGCCTGTTCATTTTTCTGGTATTGAGATGCTTATATATTTTGGAGATTAATTTTTTCTCAGTTTCACTCGCTATTATTTTCTCCCATTCTGAAGGCTGCAGGACTATATTTTTAAAGTATATTTTCCCTTGATTTTTAAAAGGAAGCACTTAATATAATATGCATTTATTAGAGGCTTCATTTGAGCTGTAAATAGTGTCCTGGAGAATGTCTTTAAGGAATTTAAATCTCACTCTTATTTCACTAAAATTAATTGAGCACACACACAAACAAAATAAGCAAGAAAACAAGAGAAAACAGAGAGAGAAAATCCTTCCTGACTACATTGGTGGCTTGACTTTGTGGTGTTTCAATAGTAACGACAGCCTTTAGTTTGAGAAAAGATGGGGGAGCTACTACTGTAGCTCATAAATATTGAGGAGCATGATCTTCCTCCAGAGCCAGTGCCTACCAATTCATGTGGATTCTGGTTGCCAAGAGACAAAGTTTGGCCCATTTAAATTATGCTCAGTGGTCTGACAAATGCCAGATTTATGATAAAATGCTAAGTCTTTTGTGGCAGAAAAATTCTACTTAAAACATTTAGTCCTTTTAAAATTTAATTATCTTTCTAAATGATGACGAATATGGGCAGCTTTCAAATTAAGGGCTTTTTTCCCTTTTATCTGGTTTTTTTGTTTTTTGGGTCAACATCCACATTGAAAATTCTAAATAATGCTTTCTTCCAGATAGTCAAAACAAGCTAACACTGAAGTCTTACTTCTAGAATACATTCATGCTGCCAAAAATTCTGAAGGCTTGAATTTTCAATCCTGGGGTATTTGGCTTTGTGCAAAGAGCTAGTCAAACTGGGGGAGGGCCAAGAGGGGGCCAGAGCTTCCTGAACCACTATACTGACTTCCTTCCTTCTGGTACATCCTCTGTCCTGGTGGACTCCGCTAAGCTCTTCCAAACCAGTGAGTGATAAAGAGGGCTTTCTTTATTCAAGACATCGTGAGCCTGAAAATCAATTAGTATGGTATGCTTTAAGGTTCTAGCCTTCCGAAAAGAAAGGCTGAAAAAGCTGCATGAAATAGGAAAGCAGTAGTTCGTACCATTTTAGTGTAAATGGTTTCAATATGTTGATAGCCACCTCATTATACTTAATTGTTAATTAAATATTAAGTAGTTGAAATGTAAGTGCTAAGCAGTTATTTCAAACAGAGGGCTAGATGCTCTTATTCATTGTATATATAGTATTTGCAGAGGTTAAAATCCATTCTTGAGTTGGAATCAACAGTGAACAGAGCATGGAGCTATCCTCATGGAACTTCTGTTTTTGTGCACTCAAGATTGAGGTCCCTTAAGGAGTGGATTCCTCTGTGATTTATGTGTGAAGTCGCAACCTGAGGTTACTTTAGAAAAGCTTTACAAGGCAGTTTGGAGAACTGCTTCAAAGAAGATCAATTGATATTTCTTTTCCTACTCTTCCTTCCCCTCCCTCTTCTTCTTCTACATTTCTTTTGCTTGCAACATAATTCAAGATTAAATTTTTTATTTTATAAAGAGTTGGTGGTACTATTTGTACCCAATGTTCTATGTATTATGATTATCAATTATTCTATCCACTGAAAAATATGGGCACTCTCTTTTTCTTAAAAGTTGGTTTTTGAAAAGCTATTATAAATCTTATTGAAGAAACTTTATCTGAATATTTTCTTTGTCTTATCTGACCATTGAGACCAATTAAAGATGATAAGCTTCTTTTTATTTCATTTTAGACAACATTCAATGACTAATTCAATAAAAGGTCTTTCATTTGCCTTTTATTTTTAATTTTGTCATGGCCCTTAGGCAGCTAGTTATAATTTCATTTTCTTATGTTTGAGAAGTGACAAAGTCATAAATATTGCTAAGAAAAAGGAAAATTACTTTCCTTGTCTTTCTGAAGTGTGCATTATCGACCTTTAATCCATTATGCAGTTATTCATACCTTGTTCTGTGGTGGCTCAGACGGTAAAGGATCTGCCTGCCGTGTAGAAGACCCAGGTTTGATCCCCGGATCAGGAATACCTTTTGGAGAAGGGAATGGCAATCCAGTCCAGTGCTCTTGCCTGGAGAATCCCATGGACAGAGGAGCCTGGCGGGCTATAGTCCATGGGGTCACAAAGAGTCAGACACGACTGAGCGACTAACACTTTCACTTTTCATACCTTGTGTGAAGTGAATAAGTGATGCGCAGATGGGCTATGGATCCTGCCTTAGGATTCAGTGGAACAAAGCAATAGAGGCAGGAAGAGGGGTGCTGAGGTCTAGGATTAGCTTTTTTTTTTGTATATAAACTGCTTTATTTTTTAAGTAACAAATGAAGGGGGAAAGGACCACAAAACAGACAGAAACAACCTCAAAGTAACTTGAAGAAAATGTAGATCTCAGAAGGGGATGGCTCACAGCACCACCTCTGAAGGAACTCCTGAGAGGTTTATGGCTGCCCTTACTACCTGCCTGATGTGTTCACTCTGGCCCTCCTCACTGCCCCTCATAAGCCAGGGTTCTGACCTGGTTTCAAACGGAGACTTAGTCAACTCTGGGTTCTAACCTTCTAGAGATTTGCTTGGGAGCAAGGCAGTCCATATATCAACCACAGGCCCAACTCCAGGAATGAACCAGAGATCTCATGACCTATGGCTGATCAGGGTCACTGGGAGCTGAGGACAGGGTCATGAACCCACAACAGGCCGACTGTTTCAGAATCAGGTCACATGAGAGACACTTGGGCTACCTGTTCTGACCCATTCCCGACTGTCCTCACCAGACAAGGGCTCCTGGTGATTCTGGTTTACACAGACAGGTTTATGGGATCATAAGCACAAAAAGGCCTCATGGATCTGAAGACCAAAATGGCCGATAAACTCAGAACTACCTCAGGATACATAAGTGCTCTCACCAGCCCAAAGAAAGCACCCAAAGGTCCAAACAGCTGGGAAGACTTGGTAAGGGGGCACTCTCCAGACAAGGTGGGCTGCTGGACAGCACAGATCCACAGAGACAGAACAAGAAGCTGACAGGAGGCTAAAGACTACATGTACGATACTTGTTCATTGAGAGCAGGTGTGAGAGAAGGGAAAGGCAATGGGCCAGTTGCCCCCAGCAGCTCTGGGGAAGGCGGGTGACTTCTGCTCCAGAGATGGCAGAGCTGGTGGGGCTGTTCTTCACTGCAGCACGGCCTTCTCTGCCTCACCTCAGTCAGCGAGGGCCACGTTCGTGGACTGAGGTCACTGGGTCTCCTGGCAGATGTTCTGCTCCACTGTGTCACACTCAGCTAGGAAGGCCTGAATCCTTTTCACCAAACCCTTCCTTTTCATTGTACTGTCTTTGAAATTTTCTGGCAGAATTAGCATGTCAGTCTCCTCCAAGATCTTCATAAACTGCTCGATTGTGGCTTTAACTCTCCTATCAAGTTTGCAGAGAGCTTCAGCTTGCAAATCCTTGGCCAGAAAACCCTGCTGGATTCCAGCAAGGTCTTATTTCAGTTCTTCCAGCTGGTCAGCTATCTTCTCCACAGATTTTTCCAAATCTTTCAGCTTCTTTAGCTTAGCTTCTTCCTCCGGACCGTTCTTTTTCCCAATTAACATAACCCGGCAACCATTTTGTATTCCAAGTGCTGACAATGGCATCTCCATTTCCTTCCGAGATTTTCCCTTAAATATGAGTTTCTGAAAAGGCAGCGGAATCCCTGTAGCCTCTTCAACAACCTGGGCCAGGTCTTGGACAATTGGCTCACTATTGCCTTCTTGTGGGGTAACTTGAAGATCGTGCTTCTCATTGCTGTGAGTGATGGTCACGCTGAGCCCGGCTGCCGCCATTTCTTCGCTCCCGGCCACCTCTTCGCTCCGGGCCGAGCGAGGCCGTGCCTTCTTTTTCACCCGCAGCCTGCGAGCGCAGGCAGCGGCGCCTCTGGTGGATCCGGCATGCCCTCTGGTCACGCTCCGAATGGCTGATTTCTGGGAGGGAGGCGGACCACGCTCGGCTGGGTGCACCGACTGGCGAGGCTCCCCGCCCGACCGAGGGGCGCGCCACCGGGGACCCAGCCGCTCCTGGTCGCCTCGCGGGCTTCGCGCGCTAGGATCAGCATTAGTGATCCTGCTGCCCTTACCTTGGTTTGAGCTGCCTGACCTTTCACCCGGGATTTTTCTAACTGTCTGTCCTGCTTCTGCCCCTGGCTTTGGCAGTCTGTTCTCAATACAGCCGCCCGAATGGTTCTAAATTGTGTCAGTCATATCATTTAGCCTCTCAGGGTCCTCTGGTTTACTGCCTGTCACTCCTTGGAAGAATATAAGCTCCATTAGGATGAGTGTATTTTATGTGCTTCGTCCATCATTACTATGTCCCCAGCTTTGGAAGAATCCTTGACATAGGGTAACTGTTTCTTCACATTTGTTTAAATGAATGAATTCTGGAAGCAGTTTGTTCTAAGGCTAGAGGTTTGAGTATTATCAACCTGCAGACAGTGACTGAAAACATGGAAGAAGACAGATCAGTTATTGGGTGAATCAAAGAAAGTCAACTCCAGCCTTCCAGAGAAATTTTACCAAAAAAAAAAAAAAAATGCGAACTGGTTGCATTAATTGATGCCTGGTCTCCTCTCACTGTAAGGTTTGTCATTTAGGGTCTTGGAAGAATTTACCCCATAAGGTTCAAGAGAAAGTACTTTAATGAAAGGACTCCATACTGATGTGTGATTAAGGCTGGGGACCGGCAGCAACAGGAGACCACTACTACCCACTAGAGCTGTGATCAAGGAGAGAGAACTAGGAATATGAGTCCAGGGAGATAGGAAGCTGTAGAAGGCGGCCCACCAATGGGAAGTCTACTCAGGAAGGAATGCCACTTCTCTCAGAGATGTGATTCTGAAATGCGAAGGGAGGAGAGAAAAATATGCTAAACTCTTTTCTACCCCCCCCTCCCCTATTGCCTCCCTTTAGCCAAACCCAACTAAAAGCTGGGCAAAAGGGACACCTACCACTACCCTCTTTAGGGGTCAGCCTTCTTGGGCCTAGACCATAGAGCAGGGCAGAGAAGTGTAGAGACTGGACCTTGCACTCCAGTGAAGGGAAACAGGGAGACCCAGTGGATATTCAACATAAAACAGAATTATACTTCTAATTTTCTCAGTGATCAGACCACACCTGGGACCCTGTGCTTTTTCTGGGCACTACTACTTTATATGCTCATAGACAGACAAACACAAGCTATTTCATGCCCATCAGCAGACGAATGGATAAGGAAGCTGTGGTACACATACACCATGGAATATTACTCAGCCATTAAAAAGAATTCATTTGAATCAGTTCTAATGAGATGGATGAAACTGGAGCCCATTATACAGAGTGAAGTAAGCCAGAAAGATAAAGACCATTACAGTATACTAACACATATATATGGAATTTAGAAAGATGGTAACGATAACCCTATATGCAAAACAGAAAAAGAGACTCAGATGTATAGAACAGACTTGTGGACTCTGGGAGAAGGCGAGGGTGGGATGTTTCAAGAGAACAGCATTGAAACATGTATATTATCTAGGGTGAAACAGATCACCAGCCCAGGTTGGATGCATGAGACAAGTGCTCGGGCCTGGTGCACTGGGAAGACCCAGAGGGATGGGGTGGGGAGGGAGGTGGGAGGGGGGATCGGGATGGGGAATACATGTAAATCCATGGCTGACTCATGTCAATATATGGCAAAAACCACTACAATATTGTAAAGTAATTAGCCTCCAACCAATAAAAAAAAAAAAAGCTATTTCATGTAAGTCATTGTGAATACAGGAACTGGGGTTATTGAGTTTCAGAATACATGATTTGAGAAAACATACAGAATTGGCTATATAATTTGCAAGACCCACTGGAAAATAAAGTTGTAGGATCAGTGTTCAAAAATCATTAAGCCTGTCAGGACAGTGACATCAGAGGATTAAACCAAGCTTGTTACCATTCTAAGCCATGCTCCATGTAGGCAACCTTGGGAACATGTTAACTCCATCAAACATTTGAAGGACTGGCATGTGGATGATGGGGTCAACAGGTGAAGCTTAGTATGTATCTTAAGACGGTACAACCCAGAACCGAGGTAGAGCATTTTATCAAATATTCTCTGTTTGGTGGTCTTGTTTTTTCTTTAAGTTGATCTGTTTAACACCAAAAGATCCTTCCTATAAGCTGGGATTACCTGTGCTGAGTTTAGCTACAATCTGTCAGAGATGTTATGGAAAGGATTAAGTAAAATGTTGACTATGAATGTTTCCAACACTAAGGATTATAGATTAACATTTTTTGGTGAAAATTTTATCAGAAAATTATGTATTATTCTATTTAGAGAAGACTAATTTGAAGTTGATATAGGCAGGTAGATAGATATTAGCAATGAGATATGCTTTTAGCAGTCTTTTTGTATGTAGAGATCTTGTAGGTCTTTTTTATATATAGTCATGATGCCAATACTTTAGACATTTGCTTTCACATTATTATAGTTGTTCTAATTTATCATATTTATATTGTTTCATCAGTTTTATCACTCAGTCCTGTCTGACTCTTTGTGACCCCATGGACTGCAGCATGCCAGGGTTCCCTGTCCATCACCAACTCCAGAAGCTTGCTCAAACTCATATCCATCGATTCGGTGAAGTCATCCAACCATCTGATCCTCTCTCATCCCATTTTCCTGCCTTCCATCTTTCTCAGCATCAGGGTCTTTCCCAAGGAGTCCATTCTTTGCATCAGGTGGCCAAAGTATTACAGTTTCAGCTTCAACATCAATCCTTCCAATGAGTATTTGGGACTGATTTCCTTTAGGATGGATTGGTTGGATCTCCTTGCAGTCCAAAGGACTCTCAAGAATCTTCTCCAACACCATAGTTCAAAAGCATGAATTCCTCAGCACTCAGCTTTCTTTATAGTCCAACAATCACATCCTTATGACTACTGGAAAAAACATAACCTTGACTAAACAAACATTTGTTGGCAAAGTAATGTCTCTGCTTTTTAATGTGCTATTTAGGTTGGTCATAGCTTTTCTTTCAAGAAACAAGCGTCTTTTTATTTCATGGCTGCAGTCACAGTCTGCAGTGAATTTGGAGCCCAAGAAAATAAAGTCTCTCACCGTTTCCATTGTTTCCCTATCTTATTTGGCATGAAGTGATGGGACTAGCTGCAATCATCTTAGTTTTCTGAATGTTGAGTTTCAAGTAACTTTTTCACTCTCCTCTTTCACTTTCATCAAGAGGCTCTTTAGTTCTTCTTTGCTTTCTGCCATAAGGGTGGTATCATCTGCATATCTGAGGTTATTTATATTTCTCCAGGCAGTCTTGATTCCAGGTTGTGCTTCATCCAGCCTGGTATTTCGCATGATGTACTCTGTATATAAGTTAAATAAGTAGGTATATATGGTTCCATCTATAAAACATCATACAAATATTTTAGCCTTGGTTCCAATTTTTTGAAAACCCATGCTCATAATTATTCATGCTAACATGTTGTCACATACTGAAAGGGGAAGAATCAGGCAGAAGAAGCAGTACATTTTGAATTTTGCCCATTTAAAAAAATGTTCCCCTCAATAATGTAAGATGAAGTGGCTTCCTCATTTCGTTTCTAGGTACAGTNTGGTGATGTCCATGTTAGAGTCTTCTCTTGGTTTTTGGAAGAGGGTGTTTGCTATGACCAGTGCATTCTCTTGGCAAAACTCTGTTAGCCTTTGTCCTGCTTCATTTTGTACTCCAAGGCCAAATTTGCCTGTTAATCCAGGTATCTCTTGACTTCCTACTTTTGCATTCCAGGTCCCTTTAGTGAAAAGGACATATTTTTTGGCTGTTAGTTCTAGAAGGTCTCTTAGGTCTTCATAGAACTGTTGAACTTCTGCTTCCTCAGCATTACTGGTTAGGGCATATACTTGAATTAATGTGATATTGAATCGTTTGCCTTTGAAACGAAGAGAGATCATTCTATTGTTTTTGAAATTGCACTCAAGTACTGCATCTTGGACTCTTTTATTGACTGTAATGGCCATTCCATTTCTTCTGAGGGATTCTTGCCCACAGTAGTAGGTATAATGGTCATCTGAGTTACATTCACCTATTCTAGTCCATTTTAGTTCACTGATTTCTAAAATATCAATGTTCACTCTTGCCATCTCCTCTTTGACCACTTCCAATTTACCTTGATTCATGGACCTAACATTTCAATTTCCTATGCAATATTGTTCTTTACAGCATCAGACTTTACTGCCATCATCAGTCACATCCACAACTGGGTCTTGTTTTTGCTTTGGGTCCATCTCTTCATTTATATTGTTTATATTGTTACACTGTGACAAAAAAGTGACAATATACAGAATAATTGCTTGGAGGGTTAATGTCAGCGTTTGATTGTATGTTTAGTTCAGGGACCCAAATTCAGAATCATAGCAGCTTGATTCCCAGCCTACAGTTATTCCCACAAAATATGAGGAACAAAGATGTTCCTCCAGATAAGGGAGACCCTTTTTAAAAATAATAAACATGGATTTGTTTGATGACAGTTAATTGTCAGTATAACATTATCATTTAGTTATACTAGAGTAAATTTAAAATGTATTACCTTGATATAGTAAAGACCCCAAACTATTGAAGATTAGAAGTGTAACCTATATTCTACAATCTTAAATTTTGAGCAGTCTGCAACTCATTTTGGCTCTTTAAGGAAGTTATGTAGAAACATGTTTCTGTGAACCTAACTTTGCATACTTACAGCATAGCTTAAAACTTACTGCTCATCAGCACCCCCAAATGGTTGATGCTGTCATTTTATCTGGTTTGTATTTATTAAGTTTTTATTAACATAGTAAACTAAATTAAATTAAACTTAATAAGGACTTCCTTGGTGGCTCAAATGGAAAGAACTTGCCTGCCATACAAGAGATGGGGATTTGATCCCTAGCTTGGGAAGATCCCCTGTAGAAGAGAATGGCAACCCCCCTTCCGGTATTCCTACCTGGAGAATTCCATGGAAAGAGGACCACAGGGGGCTGCAGTCCATGGGGTCACAAAGAGTCGGACACGACTGAGTGACGAACACTTACTTAAACTTAATAAACAGAAATAAACTTATTTATTAAAAGAAATCCATATTTAGATAACAGATAGTTTATTATTTCTGACTAATTCATATTTGTAGGTTCCCCATTACTGCCTCCAATAAGAGAACTTTTTCTTCTTTTCAACCAAAATTGTCCCAGACTCTAGAAGTATGAGACAAATAAAAGTAAAACCACTATGTTTGAAGTGAAGATAAAGAGCCCAGGGCCTCACCAGTTTACCAACACTTTACATCTAATTTTAACTTCTGAGATAACCCAACATTTAACCAACAGTCTAGTTCAACCTCCTTAGCTTACAAATAAAGAACGTAGCTCAGAGAGATTTGGGGGCTCACTCAATATCACACAGCTCATTAGAAACACAACCAGCATAAAAACCAAGGCTGTGAACCTCACTGCTTTTTTGAGTATAGTATGCTGCTGGGGCAAAACTTTTGTTGGTACATGGAGAAGTACTCTGACTGCCAATCATACAGATGGAAGAGTCTGGAGTGTTTTAACAGAGAGGAAAAGCTTCACCTTTGAGTACTCGTATCTACATGTCTTCTGATTTGCTTGTGTTAATTTTATCTGGCTTATGCCATCATTCTTTTTTCTTTCAGTAGGAAATGAGCAGGAAACAGGATAGATAAATAAATAGATACAGACACCTACACAAGCTACGCAATTACAGTACTGAGTAGGCGAATGACTTGTTAAAAATGAATCTTTTTTTTATTTTTATGAGTCTCCAGAGAGTTCAGCCCAGTTATCCCTGAACCTGGAATTGAGCTGTGCACAAAACGACCAGTCACCTTTTATTGTTATTAGGTTCTGTATTGGGCATTTTAATCTTTTTCATCTCTTTGGGAGTAGGTGTGTCACATGGAAAAATCATGAAGTAGCTAGGGAAAAAAAATAATATTCCTATTTATAAAGAAACCATTTTGTTTCCAATATAACATCAGATGCTTACTTGTTAGTTTTGGGTGTATATTCATACCAATAGAAGATTTAATACTTCAAAGTGTGCAAGAAATTTGAATTTCCTTTCCCTCTTCATTTCCTAGCCATCAAAAAGGACAGAAACCAGGAATTTCTAAGCATTTGTTAGATTTCAAGTGGCATGGAATTTTAGAACTTTTATTTGAAACTGAAATAAAATGTTCTGCTGTGTATATATATATATATATATGTATGTGTGTGTGTACATATATATATATATATACACACAAAAACATACACATGTGTGTGTGTTTTTATATCTATATATATATATAGATATATACACACACACATGCAACTACCACTGATTGAAATGCCCTAAGTGGCAATATTTCTTTGTCTAACTGCTTGACAATTTTAGACATATATGTGAGAAAATGTATTAAGCTTTTGTCTAATTCATCCCCTCCTCACAATCTCAGTTAAAGGAAAAAACAATTGAAATTACACCCACCAGAATATAAAATGGTGCAACAGCCATGGAAAACAGTTTGGTGGAACCTCAAAAGGTTAAATGCAGAGTTTCCATATGACCCAAATATTCCATTTTTAGGTATGTACCTGAAGTAATGAATACAGGAACTCACAAAGATACTTGCACACCAACATTTGTAAAATCATTATCTTATAATAGCCAAAAGGTGTAAACAACTCAAGTGTCCATGGACAAGTGAACAGATAAATAAATGTTTATATATCCAGCCAATGTAATGTTACTCAGCTATAAAAATGAAGCTTTGATTCATGCTACAACATGGATGAACCTTGAAAACATTAAGAGAAATAAACTATACACAAAAAATCAAATGTTGTGTGATTCTACTTATATGAAAAATCTAGAGTAGGCCTATTGATAGAGACAGAAAGTAGATTAGTGGTTACCAAGGACAGGGAAGGGGGAATGGGAAATTGCTGTTTAATAGTTAAGAGTTTCTGTTTGGGGTCAAAAGATTTTGGAGATGGTGAGGATGACTATACAACACTGTACCTGTAATTCATGAAAAATATCACAGTTTAGAAAAGAACGAAGCATATCCAACATCTCTAGAGGAATAAGAAAGGAAACACCAGGGAAAATCTTATTTGCCCGCAAGATGACTGTGAGTGAGATATCTGTGGCTGCCCACTGCAGGGCTCTGGATGTCAGACACCAGGTGAAAATGGACTGATCATTATCGTGCTCCTTATCTATGTGAGGCATTGCTATGGAGGCTCTGGTTGTAGAGGTGATAAGACAAGACTCGCCTTCTGCCCTCTTGGAGCTTATGTACCAGTGGGGAAGGCTCAGAAACAAGCAAACAGACACAAAAAGAGAAAAATGTAAGTTGCAGTAATTGCCATGAAGGAAAGAAAGCGGGGGACTGAAATAAGGCGTGTTTGTGTTGTCCATGTGTGTACTGGGGGGGTGAAGGTGGAGCAAGTTTCTCTTTCTAAAAAAATGTATAGTTCAGAGTAAAAGGAAATGTCATAGAAAATTCAGAGTCAGAGGAAACAAGAATGGCAAGGTACTCTAGCCATTCAGCCATATGGTAGTGGCAGGTAATAAAGAAAGAATAATATTAATAGGAGTGGACCTTGAGACTCAGTGTACCTCACACACCATCCATACTGAGAGAGGAGGCAGGTGAGGAAGAGCAAGATGCCAGCTGCAGTGATATGTTAAGTGTAAGATGAGTTTTAGATTTCTATTAAATTGTATTTGGCCAGAAGAGCTCAGGATTGCTCGAACCATGTCTTATAAATAATCTATTCCCCTTGAGGCTTCCAAGGTAATTATATCCTCAATGAACAATGAATAATGAGAAATCAAAGTTCCACTTTAATTTTACTTAAGCTAGTGCCTATAACTGCCAATGAAACTTGTTGAAAAAGCTGGATTGGAGCATGTGAATTGCTCTCAATACACCCAAGCTAAGCTTCCTACATCAAAGTCCAGGTCGTATCAAACCAAATCTGGCTGCCAAGTTTAAAATGATGGGAATTCCTGAGCACCAAGGGAGTAAGAAAAGGCAAAGAAAAGTAGGCTGATAGGGTTCTGTGAGGAGTGGAGAGAATGGACAACTGCATGCTTTGGGGTGACTTTACTCTTTTCTAATGCAACCTGTGCAGTGGGTGTCCTGAAATCTGACCTACATCTAAATCAGTTTAGAATCTACTCTGTGGGGGCATGTTAGATTAATCTGAGATATGGAAACGATTTTCACAGGCAAATAACAGGAGAATAATGTGTACCAGTCAGAGGGAGAAGATGACCATAGGTTTATGTATACATACCTAGAAAATAGAATATGGTCATAGAAGAAAGTATAGTAAGATAAGCTGAAAATGGAATTTAAGTAATGTTACTTTTGAAAAATAGACCCCAGAATTAGCCTTCTTAGCTTTTATGCTTGGGGCAATCATTTTCAAATTCAGAGGAAAATAATTGCCTGATCTGGGGGTTATATGTGAAAGATGAAAGAGGAACAAGACTATGGCAGGAAGGGTAGCAAGAATGCAGTCACTACTGAAGTGAAAAAACGGAAAGTGAAAGTTACTCAGTTGTGTGTGACTCTTCAACTCCATGGACTGTACAGTCCATGGAATTCTTACAGGTCACAATACTAGAGTGGGTAGCCTTTCCTTCCTCCCGGGGATCTTCCCAACCCAGGGATCGAACCCAAGTCTCTTGCATTGCAGGTGGATTCTTTACCAGCTGAGCCACCAGAGAAGCCCAGGAATACTGGAGTGGGTAGTCTATCCCTTCCCCAGTGAATATTCCTGACCCAGGAATCGAGCCAGGGTCTCCTGCATTGCAGGCAGATTCTTTACCAAGTGAGCTATCAGGGAAGCCGAGTCGCTACTGACCAGACCCGAAATGATCATTGTTATTCATGTTACTGGGAAAGAATCTAATAATTGGCTTTTTATTTCATCATGTAAGGAGAGATGATGAATCATGACTATTACTTTCAAACCCTATCATGCCATCTTAGGCATTTCAGGTGAAACCCCTCCTATTGCAGCTACCAGGCAGAAGGCAGGGAACAGCAAGTTTACTTGACTCTGAACAGCACTAAAAATGGGCAGTGTTCACATGGGACTCTGTTCACAGTTATCTGTATTGCACATGCATTTGCTCAAATACTGAAAATAGAGTATTCAAAGAAAGATGACAAAATATGTAAAAAGTGTAAATAAGAAACATTGCCCCCAAGTTTTAATCTTGTGTTGATAGCTATGGTTAGTATTTTAGGACATATTCTATTTTGTGTATATGTGTGGTATCGTTACATAATAAACTTTGATCAATAGTGTCTTACTTTGCTTTTAGCTCAGATAATAGTGATTCTAGTAGTAGCAGGATCACATGAGGATGGTACAGGTCACAACAGACAGCATGTGTCAAATGCTTTGGAAGCTGTGAAGACCACCACTGCCAAATTTTCCGCTACTAGATTCTGTAACTAGGTATATGTGTGTGTACAGGTTTCTTTATATTTTGACTAATTCCATGAGGAACAGTTCATAATTACTACTCTCCGAATGAAGACACTGGGGCATAGAGAACTTAAGTGAATCTCCCAGATTATACAGGGAGTAGACGGCAGAACTGGGATTTAATCCATGTCTGTTTGATTCCAAGGCTCTAGTAAAACCTACATGGTAAAACCTAATGGTAAAACCTACAAACACTCCATGTAATTAGAATACCTTCAGATATACGGGTGAATGAGAACAGTTGCAGGGAACTTGTGACGTTTTCAAGTCATGCGAGTATTTAGCAGTAAAATGGAGCACTAGGGGCCGGGTCTGGAGCTGTGGCCCAGTGCTCTGCCTTCTATTGTAGTGAAATGGCGTTGTTTCTCTTTCCACCATTCTCTCCTGGTCTTCCCTCACCCGGCGGCTCTCAGTGTCCATGCGTGGCAGGAGCAGCAGGCCCTGGGTGGACTCGGAGCCCAGAAGGCGGACGAGTTACCTGTGGAGCTTTTGTGGAATGCTGCCCCATGACCCCCGTGACCTCCCAGTGGTTAGCACAGTTTTAGTTTAATTCTCCCATGACTACTAGATTTCCCAGGTGGCTCAGTGATAGAAGAATCCGCCTGCCAAGAGGAGATGCAGGTTCAACCCCTGGGTCAGGAAGATCCTCTGGAGAAGGAAATGGAAACCCACTCCAGTATTCTTGCCTGGAAAATCCCATGGACGGAGGAGCGTGGCGGGCAGCAGTCAGTGGGGTCACTAAAGAGTCGGACATGACTTAGCAACTAAGCAACAACAACTATAGGCCAGCCAAGCCTGTGGGCACTGTAAGTGTAGTTACTTAATTCTCATAAGCATCCCCATTATACAGCTGAGGTCACTATAGTCCAGAAGAACTGAATAACCTGTGCAAAGTCTCATAACTGGAAAAGTGGAACAGCTAGAACTTGAACTCTGACATCTGCTTCCAATCCAGCATTCTCCTCGCATTAGCCAAAGTACAGCAACTCCTCAAAGTAACTCTTAAATTACTAGGACAGACAGACAAAATAAAGGTAGTTCCTGGCAGTTATAAGTGTTCAAAATAGTAATGAGAACCTGGAATTCCTTACTGCTTCTTTTCAAGAAGAATAGTAACTGATCATCTCCTAAACCTTAACCTGATCTGGTGCAGATTCCTTTCCACGTGCAAAAGTGGCAGTGTGTTGTAATCCATCTAGCTGTGCCCTGATGATGCACTCAGTTTTGAGCAGCGGAAGAAGGTGTTTAAGTAGGATTAAGTGATTTGCACAAGGTCACAGCACTAATATGTGACTAATAAGTGCAAAATTTATGCCCCATTTCCCAACTCTAAGTCAGATGCTATAGTCATTATACCCTGATTTTGGTCATTTTTAACCAAGGTAATTTTCAGTATTTTGGCATGTATTAATTTCTTGAAAACTTACTGACATCTGCTCTTCATAGGAATGTAAGTTCACCTCTGCATAGAAAGTAAAATGAAAACAGACAGAAAAAGCTTTTCTGAAGGTTCTCCCAAATGAAAAGCGTCATTTCATAGTGCTGCCTGTACCCCAGCATGATACCTAGTGAGATCATCTCTTGAAGATAACTCTTGGATTTATGTATAAATATCCTCAAAACTTGGGACTAGCAAATAAAGTAATGAAATATGTCTCACTTGCTAGAAAAATGACTTGAGAGACCCTGTTGTTGCACTGCCCTGATTTTTTTCATCAAAATGGCCCAGTATTAATGCTGGAAATTTGAATGTCAGAGGCAAGAGTATCTGAAATTAGCAAACTAGTAATCTTAAATATCTTTGATTTATTGTGAATAAATATCAGTTATTTTACCTGCCTTACAGAGATGCTTTCAAATTAATTCATGTTTAGCAAACATGGAGGGCCAGTATAATTCAATTTCTACTCTTTTGTATATTAAGTAGATTTAAGGGTTCTTCAGAATTTTGGATGTATTTTTATTTTTATTTTTTTTAAGAATTTTAATAGAAATATGCATACAGTATGCAGTTACTAATGCTGGATAATTATAAGCCTGTTATCTGAATAAGGATATGAGACAATGCCTTAAAGTAGGAAAACAAACTAGAGGGAAATGAGGAGAGTCTCAATATTTAAGAGAGCCTTTTGATGATTGCATGATTTTAAGAAGATATATCTCTTAATATAGCTGGGTGAAATTATATATGATTTCATTGTCAAGGGACAGTGGGCAACTGTAACCAGTGAACACCAGTTGAGGATGTATTTTTAAATTTCTTAGCAGTCTTTAGATAACATTCTTTGTTTCTACCTTCCCTTCTTTTTCTTCTTGATATGCTGAAAAAATTAAAGGATGCTAAGATTATATATCTTGTTAAATCATATGTATGTATATCATACACTGTATTTCTTGAATGCAGTCAATGTGTGTGCATCTCCCCAAGGCCCCACCATCCCCTACAGCCCTGCCTACTCCTGGCTTTATGTTACCCTAGAGTTTCCCAGGGGGCGCTCATGGGAAAGAACCTGCTTACCAATGCAGGAGACGTTACGAGACACAGGTTTAATTCCTGGGTCAGGAAGATCCCCTGGAGGAGGGCATGGCAACCCGTTCTAGTATTGTTGCCTGGAGAATCCCATGCACAGAGGATCCTGGCAGGTTACAGTCCCTAGAGTCTCAAAGAATTGGACACGACTGAAGCAACTTAGCATGCATGCAGAGCAAGGGACTTTGTTGCGTTCGTTTGCTCATCTCAGTATCTGGCATTTACTAGGTTTCTAATAAATGCTTCTTAGAATGAGCTTTTGAGAAATAGTTAAGGAGCCCAGCACTCAAAGACAGACAATACTGACAGGCTTCCGAGAGAACCAATCTAATGAGACCCAAACCTCTCTAATACATTGTCTTCTTGGTTCTTGCAGTCTGTCTTTTGCTTCCTGACATGGTCTGCTTTCAGGTCCCTTATTAATGAATATTGTCCTGTCTTTGGGAATATATACCCAGACATATTTTTCCCACTGTTTTCCACCTTCTAATCATTCTCCAACTGAAAATTGTTTATCTGCAGTGGTAACATTTTTCTTCCCCCACAGAGTTTTTGTAAGATCAATGGATAAAAGTGTATAAACACAACAGGCCTGCATCTTCTGATTGGATGCAGATGTGTGTACGATACATTCACGGTCCCTGTGGAACCTGTGATTAAGTCAAATAAACACATACCAGTAAAAGTGACATTGTTAACATAATAGCTCTAGACACTTAACAGTTAATGCAGCTTGATAGCTCTCCTTTCCAATCCATTTTCCAGTGTCTATCTACATCTGTCTGTCTGTCTACCTACTGGAAGTTTTATATATATATCTGTAGGAGTTGAGAAGTAGTCCCCAAAAGATATATCCACATCCTAACCCCCAGGACCTGCGAATGTTAGTTACCTTTTTTGGAAGCATTGTATACATAATATGTACATATGCTTTAGAAATACAGTGTATTATATACACACATATGATTAATTAAGATATATAATGCCTTATGCAAGACAGAAATTTATATATGTTTATATAAATATATGTATACACATATATATATATATATATATGTGGGTTCACATGAGTATTTACTCTCTATGGTTCATAGATTCCTAGGATTCCATCAAAGAAATAAATGGTGTATAAAGTTATTTTCAATAGTTAAAAGAACCTAAGAGATAGCATATAATGCTTGCAATAAAGTAACACAGGTTGATGAAAATAGGAGATTCATTTGCTCTTGCTTGGATTTGCTTTTGGCTAGAATGGTGATTCTGGGAGGGGATGATATTGGTTTCCTCCCAAGAGTCAGAAGTTTAAATTGATGGTTACTTATGGCTTTGGTGAATAACGTATGGTAGGATGAATTAATTATAAGTTCTTTTTGGTGAATAGAGTGTTTTAGAGTATGGGCTCCTAGAGCAAAATAAAATAAATGGTCAAAGGTTCTTGAGACTTGATAACTAAACCCAGGCATGCATACATACACTCAGTCTTACACTGATCACCGTGTCTTTGTCTTAATTTTCCTTCACACAGGTTCAGTCTACTTTTACTGTTAATATCTCATTCATCAATTTATCACCATTTCCTAAACTTCATCTCTTTTAATGCATCCTTTTTATTTATCACCTGGCTACTAGACACTTTGTTGTCCATCTGAAACTGCCCTTCTTCCCAGTTATTTATTTTATTCTCAATTGAAGCATTGTTAGTTCATGTCATAATCTCTCTCCAAACTCTGAAATGCCTCTCCATCTCACTCAGAATGAAATCCACAGTTCTTACCTGGCCGACAAGCCTGAAATGTCTATCATACTCTCATGCCCACCCTCTACCCCTAATATTCCCCACCTATATTCCCCACCATCATTCAGCTTCTACCAGGTGCAGGAGCCAAACTGTTTTTATTTAATAAAAATGCTTCTCTGCTTTTAGGCAGCAGATAGCTTTATGAGAGAAGGAGAAAGCAGCATGTAATACAATAGGATAAGGATTAAAACAGAGTTAAAATGGGGATCCTCTGGGAGCCTCTCAGAGGATCATCGAAACCACACAGAATAAAGAGAATAAGCTATGTAAAAAAATGAGCAAAAGGATAAGACCACTCCCAGAAGTGGACAAAGCCTGCATAATTCCAGAGTTGTGGGAAAACATGGCTCATTTGCAGAATTCATTTTGGCTGTTTGCATAGAAAATGGGGAAACAAATTGAAGCATTTGGCTTGTTTAGCCCCAGGTTTGAGATGCATTCAGAAAAGGAGGTTTCAAAAATGTTAAGTAATTAAAAATAAACAACCCAGAAGAGATGAAAAGAAAATATCAGAAGCAATGGGAAGATCTCTGATGAAAGCAATCAAGCGGATGATCACTTTTTCAAAGGCCAAGGAGAAGACAGACCTCCCTCCTAATTAGTAAACTGGGGAATATTGCTGAAAAGTTAATGTGAAGACTTGATGGCAAAATTCCCTGCCATCAAGCTTATTCACAAAGATGCATATACCTGGCGGAACACATCCTGGCTCCCTAGTTACCCCCGGCTTTGCTATATTGCCAGTATAGCAATTAAGAGAACGTTCAGGGTGGCTCTGAGATTAAAAAAAAAAAAATTAACCCTAGGAACTACCTCAGCAGATGTCTGACAGATTTGAGTCAGGAAGAACTAGATTGGAATTCTACTTCCATCCATTTTTAATTTGGATTTTATGTACCTTACAATGATCTCAAATTTCTTGAATATAAAAAGGGAAATAAAGATATCCACTTATGGGTCTGTGGAGAGAATTAATGTATGTGATGGACTTAACACCATTGAAATCACACAGTAAAAACAGCTGTTATTTTGTTATTATCCAGCCCAAACTATTTATTTCACTGATAAGGAAACAGGTAAGGGAAAAATGAC